CTAGACAGCTCCAGTTTGCTACACTCCCTAAAGTAGATTATGACATAGGTAAGTCATAAAAATCTTATGAAAAGTCAATTTGATGCTTTTGTATAGGCCAGGAGAGCTTCATAATAGAAACGCCATTTATGAAAGACTTTGTTGTTAATGCTTATATTGATTCTGACTCTCCTGAAGACATTGCACAAAAGATATACAGTGTCACCAATATACCAGTACCATACATGAGCTTATATGTAAGGTATGGCCTCTATAATATAACTATGAAAGGGTACATTCCATTGCATATTTTCATGTTAGGAAAGATTGTATTTTTGAGAAACTTAACACATTTACAGAATTGAATGACGAAGATATTATTCGTGTTGTTTTACGCAACCCACAAGAAGTAGTGACTCCACGATCATCTCGTTTTGGCTGTCATAGTTATAATCCTCTGGTTACTCAAACAAATGAAGGGGTGTCCAAGTTTTTTTCAATTTTAAAATTTTTGGTATGATTATAACAAGTTTAGTCCATCATGTATAGTTATGATTCTATCATAGTGTTCAGTGCAGATATACAATAAGACATATAAATTTGAAAAGCTCCTATTCTATATTTTGAAAATAACAGAGTTCCCCCCATTAGTGCATGCTCTTTATACATTAAAAGAACAATCATTTCTCACAATAGCAGGATGGGTAAGTATATTGATATAGCAAATACATAATATATTCATTTACTTGATAGACTGCACTTATTGAGGGCTGCTATTTTCTTTTTAAAGCCATTTTAAATGATCAAATACATGGTAAATAGTTTGCCTCACTCTCTAATTTATAATCATCGTTTGTGTAGTACCCAATGATAAAGTTTTCGAGTATGCTGATTACACTTGGGGATTGCTAATTTGTTTGTCTAAAGTTAGTCGTCACTGATACCTTGCTGTTTTTTGTAGTGCATAATCCAAATATTCACTATGAAATTATTACAGGAAATAAGTGAAGCTGATGGTATTGAATTCAATCAAGTGTCACTTGTGTGTCCATTATCAGAAAAGAGAATACAAACACCGGTTCGTGTACTCAATAACCCTGACCTTGGACCTTATGATAAAATGAACATACTTTCAGCACCACAAAGTAACAAAAAAAAATTTACATTGTATTAAAACTCATGTAGGTTTGTCTAAAAATGGAATACTGGAAGTGAGTGCTGATAATCTCACAGAAGATGAAGATACAGTTCGCTACCTCATGTATTACCCTTGGGAAAGCGATGACAAAATATTTACATGGGAAAAACCACCAGAGCCAAATTTTCCTCAGTAATTAAAAATAATATAATGCTATACTTATTATTAACTAAAGGATATGCAAGAAAGTATGTGTGCAGTATAATTTGGATGTAATTACTGATTCTCTGTCTGAATTGTGTATTGTTCATCCTCACGGTCTGTTTGCTGGGAATGAATGTTTGACATATATATATAGAGGTACAATAATTATAGTTAGTGTTTGTAGTTTGTTGAAATTTACAAGTTTATTATTTTCTAGGTCAACTGGTGTATTTTCTTGGTGCTGCAAAAGGTACAGATGAGAGGCGTAGATTATATAGCCCTGTTTCAAGCAATGAAGAGTACATTTTATCGCTTTCTAAGGCTGAATTACTGAATATTGGACAGTAAGATGCATTGTAACTGACTGGTGCTTAATATGCAATACTTTAAATTAGTCAGCAGCTAAAACAATTTGTATCACATGATTTAACAGCAAATGTACAGGATGGTATACATAATCCACAAAAGCTAAATGCTACCCGGTAATTGACTATAACTGACAATTACATTATTATGATGATACAACTAGGTTATCAGCTATTATAGAACCGCAGGAAAGCGTTCAATGGGAGCCAGAAGAAGTTATTGTTGTAAGTTGTAAAGGTATACATACCTTTTACTAAATTATTTAATGCATACAGTTGAACCTTAAAATGTATGACTCCTTTAAAAACATTGCTGACAACTTTAAATATTTAAGGCTGATTCATACTGCACAATTAATGTAAGGTAAGGCTATAAGTTAAGACAGGAAGTGCTGTACAAATCAATGGGCACCTTTTTTGTAAAGTAAGAACAGGATTAATCTCTATTCTTACCTTATGTAAACAGTTTATACAGCACTTCCTGTCTTAACTTATAGCCTTACATTGTTCATGCAGGATAAATCAGCCTCATAAGACACAGTTAACAATAAAACACCTCATTATTTCTATAATGTGGTCATTTTACAATTAAAAAGTCACAATCTAAATACAAACTGCACCTTAGAGTAGATTCTAATGAAGGGTAGACGTTGTTCAGAAATATTGTCTCATTGAAGGTTGACCATTATGTTTCTTATGGTTCAAACCAAAACCCATACTAATATCTAAGCATTGGGGTGGGCCCATTCTAAATGAATAATATTTTAAGGCTCTACATTCTACATTTTTTTAAAGGTTTTACTTGATCACAGTGGTTCAATGGAGAGTGCAGTATATCCTGAGTATGTCAACTTTAATTGTATTAACTTAATTGATTTCAAATAAAATTAGGTTGCAACAACTAAGAAGAATAGATGCTGCTAAGGAGTTATTTAATGCCTTTGCTACAAGAACACAAGCTTACAAACTACATCATGCATTTGGTCTGACTATATTCGATCATTGTGTAGAAACGACACTAGCTTTGACAAAAAATGTGGAAAATTTTGAAGTATTTTTCATTCTTTATATGCCAAATGTTTTTGTTATACTGTCCATTAGGTAAGTCTAAGAGGTGTTGAGCCAGATGGAGGCACTGATATTCCAAGTGCTATAGTTAATGCCGTGACACAACTTTCAAGATATACTTGTGTCAAGTTAGATACACATAAATCATGCAATTACTATTTTAGATATACATGTATAGGAGAATACTGTGTTTAACTGATGGTGAATGTTATTCTTCATATGATGCAGCATTTCGTCATGTTACAGTAAAAATCACAATAAATTATTGCTATTGTTGATTTTAATTCCAGACAAATAGTGTTATAGTTGATACTGTATTACTAATGAATGCACATGTAGACAATAAGCTCAAAGCAGTTTCCCATGCCTCAGGTTTGTAAATGAATGTGTATTAATGTAAGTTTCAGTGAGTGATTATGATGTGTATAGGTGGAGTGTGTGTTTGTCCTGGTTCAATGCAAGAAGCATTGACATTCTTTGAATTAGATTCAGTACTCTCAATGAGAGAGAGAGTGATGACACATTCCTATGTTGGAGTAAGTCAAAGTCAAACAGTTCCTAACATGCATCCAATCTATAGCAATCAATGCATGGGTGCAGTAATACTCCTTTTGAAACTAAGAACAGTTTTAAATCAAAACACCAATCAAGTTATGAACAATGTACTACAATAACAGTTAAAAGGTAAATAGATTGTCAAATAAAGCTTTATTATGCATTACATGTAAAATCTTACTGTGTAGTTACATTGACAGTGATAGAACACAGCTAAGTACATCTTCTAATCAAAAGCGAATTTTGAAAGAAATGAGGGACTTTTTACATAGTCCACATGATGACATTAGAGTTTATCCCTCTGATACTGAGTGAGTACATTACTATATATTAATGTAATTTCTTTATATGTAAAATTAGCTGCAATAAGTGGAAGGCTTTAATGAAAGGACCAGAAAAGACTTGCTATGAAAATGGTGTGTGCTATGATATGAATATTATTTCATGACATTGCTCTTGTCTCGCCCACATTTGGCAGGTGCTTTTGTTCTCGGTATTGAATTTCTTGAGGGATATCCCAGTGTACCACCAGAGGTCAGATTCCTGACGCCAGTAAGTATATTCACATGCACATGCAAAGAAGGTGTTTTCACAGAGGGATAAGAGTGTTACACTATACATATCATGCTTTTAATATCACAAATGCTTATCAGTCTGTTATGAGAGTAGCTAGACATTAACAAGTATAGGTTATACAATGAGGTGAGGTATCTATGGCATTTATCATACCATAGGCCTGAGGTAGATAAGGCCATAGATACTGACACAGAGTTGTATAACCAACTTCTACCCATGTACTAGTCTGGCCCCGCCTCTTCGTTGCGTTGGGTGGCACAGAAGAGTCTGGTGACACTGCTAAAGAATTTATGGCACTAAACACAGGATTGAGCATCCAAATCAGATTGCAGCACTCACGTGGAAGTAACTTTGTCACATGACCTATTAAAAATGGCTGCCAAGTATGACTGGCAAACCTGCTGTAGATACGATAAATGCTAGCAAAGGAACAGAAGCTAACTGTAGAGGAAGTAAGAGAAGAATATGAAGAATTCTCGTGTTAAACTTGGCTGAAAAGTATACGGATTTTCTGTTTTCACTTCCGCAAATATTGTCCATGAATTAACTAGAACTTTGATAGATTTCTTCTTGCCTTTTACTATTGCTGCTCTCCTCATTCAAGCAGTGGCGGATCTGGCCCGGCCTAGACGGGCCATGGCCTAGGCATCAGAAGTCAGTAATGAGATTCATTAGATGCAATGTAAACAATTCCCTGCCTCAAGTTTTGATAAAGCAAACCACAAGCTACACCAGAGTACTTACAAGTGCTTGAAGAGCATTATAAGCACTGCATAGATAAGGAAATTGTTGAAGCCCATCATTAGTGATGGGCGATATGGCCAATTTTCTTAATTTTCAATAACGATCAATAATGGACTTTTTGAGGAAATATCAATTATTAACGATATGATAACCACACCTTCATTTAGAGGTGTGTCAAGGGTGTGGCTAATGATTTTGGCACTGTACGGGACATGAGAGAAGATCATTTCCATGCTCTTGAGCCTTGATTCTCTTCTTATTGGGATAGGCTGAGCTAACAACTGGTCAGTTGCCTCTTTCTTGCAGTTCAACAGTGCAATTACTTATTAAAATTAGTTATTTAACCTTAATAAATGGGCGTGGTCAATAGATCGATGAAAATTGCATAAAATTTTCGATAATGATTCAAATCGATTTCATAAAGTATCATTTATATCAATAAAGAATCGATATATCGCCCATCACTACCCATCATAAAAATGGCCAAACATAAAATGACTGGTTGAAAAGTGGACACACCCACTTTCTGGCCCTACCATTAACTTGCACCCAGATCTGCACTGCATTCAAGGAGGCTTACTTGTCAAGAAAAGCCTCAAAAAGAAAGTTATCATGTGACAGAATGTTTTAATAACTTTAATAGCTACTAATTATTGCATTCCTTTCTGCAACAAATTCTGTAGCAGTGTCACCAGACTCTTCTGCGCCACCCCCGCGCAACGAAAATGCAGGGCCAGACTAACCATGTACTAAAATAAACAACTACCTTAGGGTGGGTATTAATTGAGACACTTAATTTTAGCGATTTTAGGCCTGAGTGTACTTAAAAATGCTAATTCAACCAGCTGCTAATACTTATAGTTATTGTGTACTTGTGTAAACAAGTACATAAGATAGGCAAGATCTGTAACAAAATAACAGTAAATAGGGTGATCTTATTAAAGGGTAACTAAGATTAATTTTTTTGATTTTTCAATAATCAAGCCACAGTATCTATACAACAAATGAACAACAGTTATGCACTTATTTTCATCAAAAAGTCTTTCACTTGCAAGATAATCCACTTTACATTTCATCTTTTTTACTAGCCATTAGGGAGAGATTGTTACCATCCCGTAAACTATCCGTCGACGGACTTTTACAGGCTTCGCCTGTATACTATACTGGGGCTTCGCCCCAGTATACTATCTTATAACAATATAGAATTAAGTATAGATACGACAATCAGTGCGGTTGAGGCAGCAGGATCGTGGTGGCTCAGTGGGGAAGGCGTGGGGCAGAATGTGGACGTGGTACTGGTTCAAATCCAGCTCAGGGCAGGGCAAATTTGCTTTTCTTTTTTTTTTACTTTCAAAAATTTAACTTTTTACCTTTTCTACTTAGCCTTCTCCCCTAGTTATGTTAGTCCCCTAGTTAGCTATTGTTTTTTAGGACTTAGCTATTGTTTTTAGGGTTTAGGGGTTAGGGTGGCGGTTTTTTTTTAGAGCGTCCCTACTCAATTTAGGAGCCCCTTAGTTGGTTTAGGGTTTAGTTTTTTTTTATTTCAGAGAGTCCCAAGGCTTTAAAAGTCCCTAGAGCAGTCCTGACAAAAACTAAGTTCCATTTTGCATCGATGCGCATG